TGAAAAACTCTTGCTGACTGTTATTGATGTTCTAAGTTGTGAATAAGTGAACCCATCCTCTACAGAGACACACTTCTGCACACTTTAATTACTGTTTCTTTGTGGATTTTAACATATTGGAATATAATAAAACATAAAATGTGACTTGGGCAAAAGTTATGGCACATTCTATATCTTATGTCTTATTTTTCTGCAATAAATAAATAGAAATTGTGCACTAAATGTGCAGAGAAATGTCATATTTTAGATATAGAGGACGTGCTAACCGGGGTGCCCAAAGTTTTTCGCTGGGCTGTGTGTTTTTCCTCTCTGAATGGGCGTGTGTGAATGCTGAGCACTTATCTAGTGAGCAGAGTGCGCAGTCAGAGTGCTCGTGCTGTAACTAGAACTCTGCTGTGTTTTTAACTCTTTTAACACATTTGTGTTCTATAAATGGAGTTTTGTTATTAAACGCGTTATAGATGATAGACTCAGGACTTCACACGTGATGATGAAGGTGGACTCAGGACTAAACACATGATGATGATGATGATGATGATGATGATGATGATGGACTTAGGACTACACACATGATGATGATGATGAACTCAGGACTACATACATGATGATGATGATGATGGGCTCAGGACTACACACATTATGATGATGATGATCATGATCATGATGGGCTTAGGACTACACACATGATGATGATGATGATGGGCAACACACATGATGATCATTAAAGACTCAGGACTACACGCATGGCAATATGTAAAGATTTTACTTTTGAATGACACAAAATTGTCGATGAAAAAATGCTGTTATATTTTAATTGTCTCAGTTTAGCTTAACTCTTACACTTTAGAAAATATATATTTTGCCATAATGGACTTGCAAATGCCCAAATGAGAAAATATTCTCTATTTTTTCTAATGGAGAAAACAAATTAGAAAGAGCTAAACTTTCAATAGCAAGCACATTACATAGATTAGCTACATTGCAATAGATACCTTTACAAGTTTGCAAGCAATTTACAAATTTACAGATAATGTTATGTTTCTATGCATTGTGCAGCATACTGTTCTTAGCAGACAACATTTGATCATTTTTATTATAAGACAAACTAACCACCTTGCTGGCTGTCTAACATTTGCTAACTTTCATGGTAACAGTTGGACAAAAATAACAAAAAAGCTACACATAACTATCCCTAAATCCCATCCTTAAAGTGTGTCTACCTTAAGATCAGAAACTTTAGCAGTTTGGTTAGCATAGCTCCATTCAAATTTCTTTTGGAAAGAAAACAGTCTTATACTGATGATGTCATAGACGTTAAGACATATTGATTGGGATAAGACATGATAGGGCTTTGTCAAAGTTCTTGCCCTCAGGCTTGGCAAAATCAGAAGAGAATAACGTAATTGTGAATAGACAGTGTGAGATATTGGATGTCAGTTCACCTTGAACTGTGTGGATGGGTGTGGGACAAAATGTTTTGATTGCAGGTGGGAGCGGGACAAATTCTGTAGGGGAAATGCATGCGTCTGCACCACTGTAGAACCAGCTGTAGATCGGTCTTGATCTTTCTGGGACTGGTTAGTCTGGTCTAATCTGGGTCAGTGAAGCCGACGTTTGTTTGTGTTCCAGCCTGTAGCTCTTTCTAATGAATGGAGCATTGGTTTGTTCAATTGTGCTGCACTGAATGAGAACTACAGGAACAATGTGGAGGAACCAGATAAAGATCACACTTACAGATACACACAGATTTCTGATCACTGGAGATTATTGCAGAGATTACTGTTCGATGCTTCTGTGATTGAACACCAGTTAGTTCTTTCACAGTTGTTTATCCACTCTAACTTATAAAACACTCAACCTGTCTATTTTACCTACTGCTGCCTCCTTATTCACTCCTCTTGCTTTTATGCTATTATTATAAATGGATGGCTTACAATCCTCTCATGCTTAACTATAATGTCTATCTATCTACCCATATATGTCTATCTATATATCTAATTACAATGTATATCTGTCTATCCCGCCTGATGATAAGGGGCGTTCCTGAGGTAACAGAGGAACAACATCATCATAAGTATGCCCTCCTCACTGCGGTCCTCTGATGTTCCTGGGCGGTGGTCTTCCTGGTTCAGGTGAAGGACTCCACCTCTATACAGGCTATACAGGATGTCATCAGAGGAATATGTTCAGCCCTAACATGGTAACCTGGAGCATATAAATAACTCCCCATTTAACTGAACACAAAACAGGAGATTCAGAGCACAGCAGCGTGAACACAGAGGGTGAGGACATTCTTTATCTTCATACCCACTCGCTTCTGTTCTTCTGTGTGTAAACTTGTTATCAGCTCTGAGATCTTTACAGATTTGACTCATTATAGCTCATTATAGAGTGACAAGAATTAATATTTTATCCAGAGTATGGATATTTTTTTCTTTTATTTCTTTATAATTTCTTCCTTTCTTCTCAGAGCTGCTGTGAATCTGTTAATTAACCAAACGCTCGTATATATATTTCACTTCAAAACGCATTATAGACCACTTTCAAAACCTTTTTTCATGATATATGTTGTTGAGAGTGAACTTTACACATAAAAGACGTGATTAATAGCCTCTTTATTTGAGAAATAAAAAAAAAAAGTTGTAACATCAGCTGTTACTCTTTTCCAAAACTCACTATGTCAAAAAATGGTACAAACAGACAGTTTTGGAAACTTTTTGTATATGTATATTTAGCACATTTTAGCCTACTGATTTGATATTAATAATCGCTTGTGCTTCCCAGTTTTAGAAAAGGGGCTTATTAGGATTGTCCCACCATAACATGGTTACCATTTACATTTATGGCATTTGGCAGACGCTCTTATCCAGAGTGACTTACAATTTGAGCATTTTACACAGGTAGGCGAAGGTAGTGTTAGGAGTCTTGCCCAAGGACTCTTACTGGTATAATGTAGGGTGCTTACCAAGGCAAGGATTGAACCCCAGTCTACAGCGTAGAAGGCAGAGGCGTTACCCACTATACTAGACCAACCATGTTGCTGTCATACATCATTTTCACATTTACTATTTTTATTCTTATTTTTTATTTTTATTGGCTTGGGCTACATGACATCAAACCACTTTCATATCTTAATTTATTTGCTTGTTTCTTTCTTTGGTTTTTACGTTGAAATTTTAAGTAAGATGGTCCTTGGAACTTTGTGAAAATAACAATGAAAATATCCTTTATTGAAATTGTAATATGCTGGGTCACCTTTAACTGTACCTGAATAATAGTCTCAATGTTTCTATTCTTGTTTCTTGGGTAGCTACAGCCATGGAACCTGAAAACCCAGGGATGGCATTAATAATGGTACCTATTACACTGTGTCTGGCGATCTGCTTGGCCGCTGTGATGAACAAGTTGAGGAAGAGACGGCTTTCTCAGGAACACAGATATGAAGCCAGTTACCTGAATCACTCAGAACTTACCATCGGTAACATGTTCACTGTTAATTAAACAGCCTACAAAAACAACAACCTGTTTACTCTGAATCACAATTACACTTCATTCTATTAGTTGGACACAAATGTGTCGCTTCTGAAAAAAGGTTCATAAATGGTTCAAATTTAATTTGAGTTAATCTGAATTAAATGACTTGTTTTCAAAGGTACCCTGGTTGTGGCAGCTGTGTTAAGTGGCATACTGTACACACTCACAGGTGAGAATGTGAATAACAAAACAAACATCTGCATGTCATCAGTTCTGCATTTTGGCAATGTTTGCTTTTCAAATGCAATCACAGCATGATTCTGTATGTGCTTACACTATGATGTATGATTCGATGTGTTTCTTTATCCTACCACGAAGGGCACTGTTGTCAGTGGTGTCACTGTCAGTTACTCATAACTATGAAGACACACATATATAGCAGCTGTGGACATTTCTGAAGTTTGTCATGCAGCCAATTTGAACTGCATTTTTATGAATAAAATGTGTTTAGAATGAATGAAAGGGTAAAAATCACAACATGAACTTGATGGCTAAAAGTAGGTATACACACGCTAAAACATAAATCTTTGCAGGTTGTTTGGGTACTGCTTTGTCAGTTTGGCTTCTCTCACTGTCTTACAACGGGGCAATACCTGTTCATGAGAGAGGATCTGGAGGTTACATTTGGAGAAGTAGATCTCAGAGAGGAAGGTCAGAAATGCAGGAAAGGAAGAACAGTAAAAGAGCCCTGGCACTACCAAGAATAAGAGCCGTAAAGACTAAAACTACCAAAATTAGAAACCCTGAAGACTGGTACTACAAAGAGTAACGACTGAAACTACCAAGAATGAAAGCCCTAAAGACTGAAACTTCCAAATGTAAGAGCACTAAAGACTGATACTACCAAGAGTGAGAACCCTAAAGACTAGCACTACCAAGAACAAGAGCCCTAAAGACTGACACTACCAAGAGTAAGAGCCCTAAAGACTGGTGCTACCAAGAATGAGAGCCCTAAAGACTGACACTGCCAAGAATAAGAACCCTAAAGACTGATACTACCAAGAGAAAAGCCCTAAAGACTGACAGTACCAAAAATAAGAGCCCTAAAGACTGACACAATCACAAGTGAGTGCCTGGAAAACTGACACTACCAAGAGTAAGAGACTGGCATTACAATGGAGTAAGAGCCCTAAAGACTGACACTATAGTGCAATAAGAGCCCTAAAGTCTGACACTATAGTGCAATAAGAACCCTAAAAACTGACACTACAAGGCAATAAGAGCCCTAAAGACTGGCACTACCCACAAGTCTGCAGTATTTATAGGCAGAGCATGCATAAGTCATTGGCAGCAATAGCACATAATTTCCCCATGGTACTCAGCTGCACAACACATCCTATAGAATCCATCCGCTGGTGAACTCAAGCTGTTCTAAATGCTAAAGCACGTGCACTACCAGAGAAGAGTACTCACTCTCTTTCTCTCTCTTTCCGACCTGCTGTTTAGTTCCCCATTCTCCCAGCGTTATGTTGTTTACAATAGTAGAGAAGGAGGTTTCTCCATGTGTTGGTCGTCTGGAGGTGGTGGATTCAGAAGCTGAGTTTGTGCAGTGGAAGATAAAGTATCAGACAGTGCTGCATTCAGAAAAAGCGTTCACTGGTACGGCATCTCTGACTCAAGAGAGAATCCTGCAAGAGAACATCTCTCTTCTGCTGAAGAACACTCACCATGAACACCAGGGTCTTTACCTATTCATGAAGGATGAAGACATCAGACTTGCCACACACATTAATCTCACTTTGACAGGTAAATACGTACACCTACATAAACAGATGGTGAAAGTAAATATTAAGGGAGGAGGTGTCCCTTTATGATGTCATACAAATCAAAGTGCTTTAGAATTTTTACTGCTACATTGTGTACAGGTGAAAACCTAGCATGTTTCTTTAAGTACAAAAATGTTATAATACATAACAAAAAATAAAATAAAATAGCACTACAATGAGTAAAAACCCTAAAGACTGGCACTACCCACATGTGAAGCATGACAAATTAGCACAACCAAGAGTTAGAGACTTAAAGATGGGCTCCACCAATACACAGAGCTCTAAATACTGGTACTATCAAGAATAAGAGCTTATAGATTGGCCCTACCAAGACTTAGAGCTCTAAAGACTGACACTACCAAGACTAAGAGGCCTAAAGACCAGTATTACCAAGACTCAGAACTCTAAAGATTGGCACTGCCAAAACACAGCGCTCCAAATACTGACACTACCAAGATTCAGAGGCCTAAAGACCGGCACTACCAAGACTTAGAGCTCTAAAGACTCATACCACCAAGAGTGAGAGCCCTAAAGACTGACACTACCAATAGTGAGCACTATTACAGAGTGAGAGAATGAAATCCCAAAGAAAACATTACATTGGTTATATTTGGCTATTGTCCTATTTCTCATGCACAAATAATATTCACATATGTATTACCCCATCCCCCTCTCTCTCTCCATTTAGAACCCCGTTCTCCCAGTACTGTGTTTGTTAAAGCGGGTGAGGAGGTGGATCTGCTGTGTTTTGGCCGTGTGGACTGGTTTGGTGCAGAAGCTGAGTTTGTGCAGTGGAAGATGGAGGATCAGATGGTTCTGCAGTGGGAAAAAGGTTCTCAGATTGTGGGTTATCAGTTCAGAGGTAGAGTGTCGCTGCCCAAAGAGAAAATCTACCAAAATAACATCTGTCTCGTGTTGAAGAACATAAGCCATGCTGACCAGGGCAGTTACGCGTGCTTATTTGTGAAGGACCAAATCATCAGACTGGGCACACAGATTAACCTCACTGTGACAGGTAAACATGCACAGCTGATCACGCCTCAAATCACACAACATAAATGTTTCAATGCCACGTCATACAAATCTATGAAAGTAACAAACTTTTACTCCTGAATTGTTTGTGTAGGTTTTAAGACATTGATGTTTAACTAAGTAACCTGCATGTTACCCAGCATAGACCCAAAAGTGATAAATTCACAAACAGAAAGGATATACGGTGCTGCTGATGCAAATATCAACACATTAAAAAGCCAAAACACATTACAAAACCATCAGGAACCAACAGACACACTTAATTGTTTTCATGGTTTTCAGTAGGGAAGTCTTGTTAGACCTGCCTTCCTCTCCATAAATTAGTTCTCTGTTTGTCTGTCTGTTAGATCACATGACCCGGTTGGAGGCGGAGTTTGGTTCCTCTGTGCTCCTTCCCCTCCACACTGTATCTCCAGTGATTGTGGGCTTCCTGCCTGATGGAGGGAACGGTTCTGTACGAGTGTGTGAGGTGGAGAAAGAGCAGATGGAGTGTGGAGCAGCTTATTCACACCGTACAGATCTACAGCAGCACTCCCTGGAGCTGAGGAAGCTCTCCATGGAGGATTCTGGAACGTTCTCAGTGATGGAGAGAGAAACACGGCGCACTGTCAGTGTTCTCTTCATACAGGTGTTCCCTCCATCTACAGGTACATCAGTCCACCTGTAGCCTTTTACACACCCAGCAGAACATCTTCATTCAGCACATCTAACTCTCTGATTCCTCTCATCTCCAGGTCCACCTGAGGAGGCTGAACCTAGAGGAAGGACAATCATAATCATCAGTGTTATACCTGTCTTTATAGTCATGGTGATTGTGTTGAAGTGGAGGAGGCGGAGACGAACAGGGAGCTGTCAGTGATACCAGAGCAGATCTTCCTGGAGTTCAGGGTTTTGTCCTCTGTGATTTCTTTAATGTTTACTCTATTAGCCTCCTAGCTAGTAAGCTAAAGGCTACAGAGCTAACAACAAAATGAAAGTATTAGAGCATAAAAAAGGGTTCTATATTAAAGCTTCCAGCCAGACAGAAATTATTCACAAAGTGATGTATGTTATGTTCAGAGTTCACCAAGAAGCATTTAGTTTTATAAAGTTTGTATGGTTAGCTAATTAGCGCGCTAAGGCCAACCTAGCTGTGTCTTTTAGAGCTGAATTTCATGCTGCTGTGCTGGTTCAGCTCTTGTTCTACTCTACTGTTGATCTTTCCTTTCATTAGTGTTTTATTTTAGGACAAAAGGATCCAGAAAGAGAAGAACAGAGTCGTCCAAACTTTAACTCCCATATGGATTATTTGCCAGGCCTCAGTGTGTAATGGCTGCACCTTTTAAGGTGGAACAGAAAATTTAAATAATAATAAACCAGTCTCTATTTTGTAGTTCTTATGCTGATAGATTCTGGATGTTCTTCTGTGTAAGTAGGTTTTTGAGCTGCTAATTCATCAGAATTAGATTTATTGGCCAAGTATGTTGACACACACAAGGAATTTGGTTCCAGCCGTTGGCGTCTCTTTAGTATTAAATGCAGTATACAAACAATGTACATATAATTTACAGTCAATACACAATATACAATATACACAGTATGCAAGCAAAATGCAGACTACATATGGACAAGTAATAAACAGGCTATGTACATATTATTTACAAATTATTTTGTAGAAAAATCTTTTTGTACTTCCACTTATGTTGTTTTTTTGCAAAGGCACTTTTACTTTTTACTTTAAAACATTTCCAAAATGTGAGTCTAGCCAACCATGTTATAGAAAAATGTATCTATGTGTCTCAAAGTTGAGTTGTTTATTTATTTGTTTGTTTGATTGTTTCCTACACAGACTGGAGCTGAAACCTTCTACAGCTCCACCAGCAGAAGATAGTTAAAGCATGAATACAAATACAGTGCTGCCCTCTAGTGGTGAAATAGAGAAACAGTAGAGGAAGTTCAGATAATGAACAGTTAATCAGATTAATGCGCAGATTAATAACTGTTCTAACTGCCAGTGAAGAGAATTCTTGATGTCCAGTATACACTAACATTCAGAATGATTGAATTACTCATCATATTAGGTTATTGTTTTATATCCAATCATATCTTATACAGTAGAATGAACATGTCAAGTATTTTGGGGGGAAAAAAAGAACAAATTCTAAAATTATACTTTAATGTCATTTTTCATTTAGAATAATTAATACATTTTGAGTTAAGTTTGCCTCCAGTTTGATTACTACTTTTGAAGCACACATGAATTTGAACTTTATTCTTACTGTTCTAGAATCTTCTCCAGCTCTGTTCATCGTTCTGGACACTTCTAACATTTCTACAGTTTTTATTTACAGTGTTCTAGAGTCAACAGATGATCTGAACGCTGAGAGCAAACTACAGTCACTTTGTACATTTATCTGAAACAGGATTGGTCATTACTGAAAAGAGTGATTCCAGACATGTATTTTAGTATCTGGGTCTTACAGAACACCAGCAGCATGGAACCACACACAACAGCATTTGACAGAGTGTATTAGAGATTAAATATTAATGTATAAGAGATATTAATGTACACGTGCTACACTCAGCAGATAAAACATAAGAACTCCAGTGGTGGAGCAACAGACTTTTATTTATTTCAGTAGACAGTCAGCGTTCTGCACACTAGAAAATGGGTTCTAAAGTGTTCTAATTGGACTTTATCATGTTTAATACACTTAGAGCTGAAAGCTTTCATATTAATACAAAATATACTATTCTGTTCTACTATTTGTAGTCCAAGTAATGATATTGGATATAATAATAATAATAATAATAATAATAATAATAATAATAATAATAATTTACAGCATGTGCAGTCATATGAAAAACTCTTGCTGACTGTTACTGATGTTCTAAGTTGTGAATAAGTGAACCCATCCTCTACAGAGACACACTTCTGCACACTTTAATTACTGTTTCTTTATGGATTTTAATATATTGGATTATAATAAAACATGAAATGTGACCTGTGCAAAAGTTATGGCGCATTGTATATTTTATGTTTTCTTTTTCTCCAATAAATAAATAGACATTGTGCATTAAAATGTGCAGAGGACGTGTTAACTTATTTTCAGTTGGAAAATCATCAAAAGCTGTAACCTGACCAAGAGTGCCCAAACTTTTGCTCCCAGCTGTGTGTTTTCCCTCTCTGAGTGGGCGTGTGTGAACTCTGAGCGCTTATCTACAGAGCAGGGTGCTCAGTCAGAGTGCTTGTGCTGTAACTCTTTTTACATATTTGTGTTCTATTAATGAAAAGTTTTGTTATTAAACGTGTTATAGACTACTGTAGGGTTTATTTTCAGGATGTGTTCTTGTGAATAAGCTTCACACAAATCAAACACATCATCAGAACCATATTAGAGAAATTAATGTGTTCTTCATGAGTGTTCTTTCAGACACTCCAGCAAGTGTTTATTCTTATTCTTAACTAGTGCATTAATGTCTCTAACATATTAATATTTAATATCTCTAATACATTAATATGTTCTGTTACTGTGTTTCGGGTCGTCGGACCACTTCAAACAAGTAAAAATGCCTAGAAAAAGTTAAATAATCTTATAATAAGCTTACATTATTCTCATCATAAGAACTATTAGATACATTGACTGCATTTTAGATCATTTCATTTGCCAAGACACCATTTTTTGCAGCATAACATGTATTATTATTATTATTATATTTGATTCATTGTTGGGCTACACACACTTAAAAATGATGGTTCTTCAAGGGTTCTTTAGCAAAGGAAATGGTTCTATATAGAACCATGAACAATCAAAGAACCCTTTGTATGATTAAAGGGTTCATTGCATCATGAAAGATTGGTTGACAATCTGCACCTTTTTGAAAAGGGTTCTACAGAGCCCCAAAAAGGGTTCTTCTATTGTAACAAGCCTGACATAATAACAATAGCAGAACCCTTTTCAAAAAGGCGCTATATAGAACCATCTACATCCCATATACATCCATATACATTCTCCATCAATCTGAAGAAGCATTTTACCATGCAGAGAACCATTTAAGCCTGCAAATGGTTCTTGGAGTGTTCATGGTTGTAGAACCATTTTCTTTACTAATGAACTCTTAAAGAAACATCATTTTTAAGTGTGTAGACTCCACTGTGTCTGTTGGACCAATAGCCAGTCCTTCCCCTCTGTAACCCCGCCCCCGTACCCCCCCCCGTACCCATACACCCCCTTAGCAGTGAGAGTTTCTCTCTCAGTGCAAGAGCTCAGAGCACAGTGAACGCTGAGTGATCAGAGTGGACAGAGTGGGCAGTGTGGGCAGAGTGGACAGTGTGAGCAGTCAGTATGCTGTTTTTGAAGTTTGTGTGTGCGGTGGTGACCCGTGCTCTGTTCCTGCTGCTCTCTCTGACTGCCGTGTGGAGGGTGACCTGGGTAAAGAATGACTGGTGGTTCTGGCTGCTGACCATCCTGTACGTCCCTCTGCTGCTGGAGACCATCGTCACGCTGAAGAGGAGGAGAGGACACGAGTACAAATGGTGAGAACAAGACCACCGTCGCAGACACACTGACCTCAAACAGAGTTAGAGCTCAAACGGTCAGGAGCTGCTGGACCGTCAGTCTCCTCTTTTGCTCCTCTAACTAAGCAGTGACTCAGACTCAGGATGCACATACAGAAAAATTATAACTGTAATAAAATAAAATAGTTGTAAAGGGTTAAAATATGTTGTGATGAGACTTGAAGTGAACTTGATAGCAAATTGAACAATTCACTGAAAGCTTTAAAACCAGTTATACACACTTAAAAATGATGGTTCTTCAAGGGTTCTTTAGTAAAGAAAATCGTCCTATATATAACCCTGAACATACAAAGAACCCTTTGCATGATTAAAGTGTTCTCTGCATGGTGAAATGGTTCTTCAGATTGATAGAGAGTTTGCTGTAGATATAGATCTATATAGATCTAAAATGGGTTCTTTTATTGTAAAAAGCCTGTAACCATAACAGTAGAAGAACCCATGTTGCTGCTATATAGAACCCCTTTCAAAAAGGTTCTATATAGAACCATCAACAGCACATTCTCCTTCAGTCTGAGAAACCATGCAAAAAATATTTAATCACGCAAAGTGTTGTTTGTATGTTCATGATTCTATATAGAAACATTTTCTTTACTAAAGAACCCTTGAAGAACCATCATTTGTAAGTGTGTATAGCTGGTGACTATAAATTGTGCTGTGTTCACTGACGAGACTTTTTATTGTGTTTTTGTTATTTTAACACATTTTCTAAGACTTTTATGAAGCGACTTGAAGAGCTGCTTTTAAACTAACTAAATACTGTACAGAATTTAAAAAGTTTAACTTATAACTCTAATGTAAAAATTCTGTTCACTGATTTTTAAAGCAGGTTACTGTTTTGCTAAAAGCACTGAATTGTTTGTACAGCGTGAGTTGTCAATATTTACATAAACTTCAGACTTTGTGTTAAACTGATGAGGTGAGGAGTGATCTGAGCTACAGAGAGAAACTACAGAGTTGATCTGTGATTAAACAGCTCTGTGTCCAACACTGACACCATTCAGTCTGAACGCGCTACTTAAACCTGCTGTTTAAAAGTGAACAGAGTGTACAAGTGATCATGATTAAACTGCTGGTTTAATTAAGTCTGTTATGACTTTACGGAGTTGTAATGTGTGACAGTATCAGATATCAGGTCTGCCCTGCGGTCAGTTCAGACTGATTAAAGAGACTCTCTGTGTTTTACAGTGAGCTCTGTTAGAGTTGCAGAGGCTGCACACTCTGCTCTACTGTATTAATTTAGTTATTTACTTATTTATTTATTTGTTTGTTTGTTTCTGCCATGTTTGTGTTTTTGCGCTAGAATCACTTCCCTATCACTCTCCCCTCCCCGTCCCTGCCGTCCCCCTGGCTCCCCCCCCAGTCCCCCCGCTCCCCTCCCCCACATCCTGCTTCCATTGTTGGGACTGTTTGAGAGGAGAACGCACTTGTATGCAAAAGTTTGGGCGCCCCTGCTCAAATTCAATGTGAAATAAGTTAACTCGTCCTCTGTACTCTTAAAGATGGTTCTTCAGTGGTTCTTTAGTAAAGACAATGATTCTGTATAGAACCAGGGGCACTCTCCATGCTTAAATAGTTCTCTGCGTGGTGAAATGGTTGTATATAGCACCAAAAAGTATTCTCAGACTGTTAGACGCTTGACATTATAACAATAAAACACTTTCCTGCTCTCCAACCATTTCACCATGCAAAGAACCATTTAAGCATACAAATGGTTGTTTGAGCGTTCATGGTTCCACTGTCTTTACTAAAGAACCCTTGAAGAACCATCTTTGTGTACAGAGTGTGTACAGAGAACACACTTCTGCACATTTAAATACACAATTACTGTTTATTGGCAGAATTTAACATGCTGAGAGGGAATACATCATAAAGTATGGCCTGTGCAAAAGTTATAGCACTCTTCATATTCAACAAAAAGCGTGATTTAAGTGGGGGTGCTCAAACTTTTGAATATAATTGTATATGTGTGATCTGTCGACACACTGCACTAATTTTAACTGCATTGTTTCCATGTGTTTAACACATATCACAGCTAAAAGAGAGTGCAGTGAAAGACAGCAGAGCTGATGTGTCTTATTGTGGTGTGGAAGTGATGGACAGGTTAGAAGGCAAAGAATGCTAAAGCACAGAGGTGTTTTGGTACACTTCCTCAGAACACTCGTAACAACCTATAAAACAAACAGAATAACCTGCTCACTTACGACATCATTAAAGCACGTCACAATTACAGAACAGTCATGGACTGTGGGCAGTGTAACTCACATCAAACTGACATTCACTCCTCTCCTACCGCCACTCATATATACGGAGAAATAAGTGAATATGTCCTTAAATATGGCACAGTTTAGAGCAAATCGTATGTTTATTATTTTCTCTTCTCCATTTTTGCCATTTTTCAGTTTTTCACATAATTTGATGAAAAAATTCTTGCTGCCCTTCACATTGTGTGTAAATTTCATGATTAATGGACCAAAAGAAACAGCTCAAAACATAAACATAACATAGAACTCAATCATCAAGTTGCTCTAGTGGCACATAGTGGCTTCAAATTAAAATGTATTGGATTCCACCATGCACAACACATCTTTGTGTGTGTGTGCATGTGTGTGTGTGTGTGTGTTAATTAAAATGTTGATGGTGATTTGTTGAAATATTGGCCCATTTTATCACTTCATGAAAAATGATCAAATTGTGATAAACAGATAATTTTTTTTTACCAAATTATGTAAAATTTGCTATAAGCTATAAGAACCGTGTCACATTTGCTGCGGGTAGTTCCCCTCCTGGCCTGCAGAGGTCACTCTCACTAGAATTCTAGACTTGTGTTCTCCCTGTATCTAATCAGCTGCCATTTTGTGTAAATAAAACCTCTGTTTTGTTCAGTTTCTTTGTATTGGCCGTGCCCTGTGACTCTGAGTGTTACTTCTCTTGTCCTGACACTTTCAAACTTTCTGCTTTGGTGTATTTATACCTGAGTTCTGGTCTCTGTTTTTGTAACATTAGTGCTGGTTTTCTGAAAAATAAGCCAAATCAGCAGATTCATCCACTCAGGGAAGAAGCACAGCCCACGCTAGTGTTCCACTGTACGCTGCATGCAGTTACACACTTCCACCAGAGAGGTCTCCAAATTCCCAAATCTTACACTGTGCAGCTTTAAGGAATACTCTGATCAGATTTCGCTCTTTATGAGTCATGTTTATAAGGAGAATCTGTTGATCCTGTACAGTCAGAGTGAAGTAAACTGAGAGCGGCACTCAGCGTCTGTAGGAGCTCATCCAGCTGTTTTTAGTGTAATTTCAGTCTGTCACTATGAATGAGAGTGTTGTGTAAGAGTAGTGCGCTCACTGCACGTCTCTGTGTGTTTGTTCAGGTTCTCTCCAGCGATCCTCTTTTTCCTGATCAGCATTATTCCCTCCATCTGGATCCTGGAGCTCCATCATCAGGAGAACAAGTCCAGCAACCCTCAGGTGACCACCACACAAACTACACACACATGTCTTCAGTCTTTTTTTTTTTTTACTCTTGTGTTTTGTATGACTTGTATTGTTAACTGTTACCGCACTATTTTTGTTATGTATGATATGTCTACTGGACCCCAGGAAGAATAGCGGCTATCACAATAGCAGCTAAAAAAAACCCACACATCACAGAGCTTTCTGAGTTAAGCCTTTAAGATCTACACAAGAAAGCAGCTCTTTCTGCTGTTTAACCCTCTGGGGTTCACAAACCCACACATCAAATTCAGTGTTTCTGTATCTTTGTGATGATCCAGCACAGAAATACAGTTCAAACATTCCCTGTAGAGTCGCCCTTTCCATTCCATCTTATCACGAGATCACACATGACTCACATCCGGAGTTATGAGGCTATGAAGAGGGGTTGAGATACACGTCATCTGCCTCTCACCGCGTGGAACTGGTGGATTCATGTGTCCGACTAAATTCCATGTGAAATTGACAAATGGACACTCAGGAAATCACTAAGGACTGACCCATCATGCTGGAACACCTTCATTCTTCATTCAGTCCACAACGGAGACACGTGTGAAATGGTGTGCAGAGAGTTTACAGCTGCTGAAGTTGCTGCAGCGGTTTTGGAAAGTAGTAATGAAAATAACGGAGCATTTTGATATGAAACATATGAGTGTCATGTTATATGAAGAGCCTTTTAAGGAGAGTTTAAGAAGATATGAACAAATCAAGAGAGAATATCCTCAGATCACAGAGGGTTAAAATACTTTCTCTCTCATTTCTGCTGCTGTCTTTGTTTTGAGCTGTAAAGTTCTTGATCTAACAAAGATGAACATTCAAAGACTCACAAACTTAATCTAGTAAACACCTGAATATGAACTGTTATCATAATCATTATCGTTACTCTGATGATACTGATCAATAATAGTCATTTCCATAGCAACAGACCTGGAGGTTTTCAGCTCCTGGGCACAAACTCTTGGTGGGCTCCTACCTGGCTCCCTCATTTTCGTGGTAAATAGTGGAATTTTTTCATAATATCTTAATGGGTTACATAAAATCTGTGCTGACTGACCGCTGTGCTGGGCAGCGTCTATGTTTTCTTTCTTTTGGACAGCATTTTTTTAATATTCCAACCATGCTGTTTACTCTGGAATCTGGTGTCAAACAAAACTATATTCAGGTTATCAAAACATATCATTATCTCTCTCCACTCTCCCCTCACACCATACACACATCTGCAGTTTAAAACATATTCTCTTCCAATTCAGTTCAACTGACTGACCGAGTAAACCTGGTTCTAGAAACAGTCCTCCTTACACGTTCTAATGTTTTGCAGTGTTACTTGTTAAATTATTTGTATTTGTTGTCTATTTAAAATGACATTAAAAATGAAACAGCCAATAAATTCAGAGATCTATCTAAGCAGGTTACACAGAAAGACACCTGCAGTGCTTATATTAACGCTGTCGCTATTTTCTCGTCCAGTTTGTCCAGTATGGACTGTGTTGACCTGCCCTGCTTACATAAAGACAGCAGCGAGCCAAAGAATCTCCAAACATGCTGTGTTCCTGTTATCCATATTATACATGTTTCAATATATATTTCATTATCCATATTATACATATTCCAACATATATATCATTATCTATATATACATATTCCAACATATGTATCAATATCCATATTATACATATTCCAACATATATATCATTATCCATAATATACATAATCCAACATATGTATCAATATCCATATTATACATATTCCAACATATATATCATTATCAATATTATACATATTCCAACACATATTGTCTGATCTGTACAATAAATGGTATTGAATCTTCTCTAAGATTTGAGCTTGTGTTCATGTGCAGAGTGTAAATGCTGACAGGCATCAGAATGACCACATATATAAACAGTTCCAGACAGCGTCAGGAAACTAAAACTAAATTTGGGCCAAATGTGGAAGTATTAGACGTCTGGGCCTCTGAAGATCAGAGTGACCCTTAAAGAGTCTCTGTACAAACAAACACACTCCAAAAACAATCAAATATACATATTATAACAGAATATCATTCTAGTTGACCTAAAACTGGAAGTGACTGGAAATTAATTCATAAATGTTAACAGCACATCATACTCGAATGATCATTTTCAATCAGCCATCACAGAATAATTAATGATTCTTTAATACACTAAACCATTTGCCTCTGAATAATATCCAAATCATATCCTCAAATCATTGCTTTAAGTCATTACTCTTTTATAGTTATGATTTACAGAAACCCTGATTAATACACATTGATTTGGTTTAAACTTAAGCAATTAATCAATTTATAACTGAATTAACCACACTCAGAACCACATCAGACCACCAACGATCAATGAAACTCTTGCAAGCATTCGCGAGGACAATCACAGCATTTACCCCAGTGAAGACGACATTAATGAAGCTCTTTAAATGGGTGATGGTCTGGTGTGGCAGTGCAAGCATTCAGGAGCTCAAAGCACACACTCTCAACAAGTTAATGCATTCACACTTCACTGGTTGGTGAGTCCTGGTTGTGCAGTATGTTGTAGCATATCATTGCTGTCAGAACAAAACCTCGTATCTCCATTTTCTGCCATTTTTTAGTTTTTGATATAATCTGATAATGCCTGTTGTGCTTTACATTGTGTGTTAATTACATGATGAATGGACCAAAAGAAACGAGTTCTTTGGAAAAAAAGTCTGGTTCCATTGACTTATATTAAAAGTAAAGTATGTTTTTTCCTTCTCCTGTAAAGTTACCATCTTGAAGATACAAGGTTTTGTTCCGACAGCAGTGATATACTGAATAACAATAACATAATAATAATAATAATAATAAATAAATAATAATAATAATAATAATAGCAGCACAGATTAATGTGATTTGATTGTGATGTGTTTTTGCTTGTCTTTGTTCCTCTAAATTGAGTCTAAATTCTTTTATTCCTTTTTAACAGTGAGGCTGTCAGATGTTAAACTCCACTGTAGGCAGTGCTGCACTTACAAAAGGCAAACAATAAACTGAACTGAGCATTTTTGTTCATGTTTGTCCTTAGGAATGGGCATCCTCTGCTCTCTCTCACTTTTAAGATTCCCTAGATGCATCTTTTGAACATCTGGAGCTCAAAATATTCAAAATAAATTCACAGGAAACATCGACTCGCTGCTAAAAACCCCTGAAAGTTGAGGTAATGGTGTACAGTGGGACAGCTTCTAAGCAGCAAGTAGAAGAGAAATGAAGCAGACATTCTGGAACAAGGTGGAGAACAAGGGTAAAACTAGTCCAACCCAAGATCTAGATCATATATAAGGTATATTAGATTAGATCAGATTTAACTTTATTGTCACTGTGCAGAGTTCCGGTACAGAGCCAGTGAAACGCAGTGAGCATCTAACCAGAAGTGTAAAATACAGTATTTTTTACATATGAAGTGCAGGAAAGTAACCAACAACTGACACTTACAATTTCTACAATTAAGGACAGTAGAGTAGTAAAAAATATAGATATTGCAAGTATAAATATAATATGCATATAAACAGTGTGAGTGGAGAGAATGCAAATGTAGGCTGTATGTACTGTTAGAGCAGTTTCCGAGGTTGTCAGAAGAAAACCTCGTATCTCCATTTTTGACGTTTATCTACATCATATACAATGTAAGCCAACATGATGCATGACTATAAAAGTCAATAAGGTGAAAATGGCTGCAGTTCCTGTCTGAGGAAGTCTTGCTTCAACCACTTTGCCCCCACTCACCCCGTGACTTTTCCATGAAGGTGGCTGAACAAACCCAAAACAAAACTGTTTTTCCTTTCTCTTAAAATCACCTCATCGTAAAATGTGTGTTTACGCTTAAAATAGTCACAAGACCCAAACAATCACAAGAACGGCCAGTGCAAACAGGAAGGGTTGCAACATAATCACTGCAGAACTTAATCATCGTGGCAGTTTTCCACGGGTGTGAGTGGATGTCTGCTGCCGGTATAAAGGGGGAATGATTCTCTCTCACCAAAACCACAGACCACATTCACAGAAATATGTTGACATGGCAGCTCTTGTTTCATGTATCCTCTCTGGTTCAACCTTTTTTCATCGTTCAGCTGGTAAAGTTCCTGCTAAGAGGCATTTTATGTCCATTTTATTGAAGTAACATTTTACCATCTTGGCTAAACATATGTCTTAATATGTGCCAGCTAATGTACTCATAGACTAAAAAATATAATATAAACGAAAACACAAACTTACTTTGCTCTGCGTTAAGCTTTAGCTCAGCCATAGCCGCTTTTCTCGCTTCTCCAGCAAGAAACATTTCCGCAAAAGTAGAATAATTTCTTGTAAAATGTCTCTCAATGTTCAAATTTTTAAGAAGCAGAAGTGGCTTCTCAGTCGCCAGCTTCTTGTTCGAATTTTCCCATTCCACCTTAAATAGTGCCTGAGGTGCCAGAATGTAACTGCTGCACCATTTAAGGTGGAATGGGACACTTTGAACAAGAAGCTGGTGAACGAGAAGTGACTTCATGTCTTCAGCGTCATGACTTTTTGGTCAATCTTTCTCTTTGCCGTTTCGTTAGCTACTAGCTAGGCGAGACTGTTGTCTGTGTTGCAGGTTATGATTTCTTCTGCTCTGTTTGCTCTTCTGGTGTTTCAGTGTAAGAAGCTGGACTCGTGGAAGAATGTCCGGAGCATGGTGGAGTCCTTCAACAGCACAGTGGTGAACAGCACAGACACACTGAAGGTACTCTCAATCACACTCACATTAAGAAAAGATTCACTCAGTTTCCCCAAGACATCTTTGGTGTCTGAAGTTTGCTTTAGAACTAGAGCTACGTGGCTAATGTACCTAAGAAGTATTATAAGATTATACCTCACCAATTAGCATGGTGCTAACTGCATACCTAAATCATCACACTTGCCTCAAACTTGTTAGTGAAGGTGGCTTTCTGTTCGCCAGCTTCTCATTTGAATTGTCTGTTCCACCTTAAATGGTGCAACAGTTATTTCAGGCGCCTCCGGCATGAAAACTCAAACACTCAAATAAAAAAAACTACATTTTTAATAAAATGAACCTGCTGTGCAAGTGTAATAGGATTAAAGCAGTAAAATATTGTCAGTCTTGTATTTATACTCAGTTAAGGTGGCAGAATGTACCATTTAAGGTGGAACAGAAAGTTCTAATAAGAAGCTCAAACAGAATTGCTTGCATTGTTTACTCCACATAGTGTGACCCAAACATGTGATGATTACAGCTAACAAAATGCTACTTGTTGACATATAAGCTTCTATTACTTATGAGGCAGCTCCAGCACTAAAACTAAAGAAGCAAACTTCAGACAGCGAGCAGGTCTTGGCTGATGGACCAGGTTTAGTTTGAGATGGAGGCTGTATTTTGGCTGAACTATCACTTAAAACATACTGTTTTACTTAAAGTGATCTCAGCATTGTTCCCAGAACTGATGCGTTTTTTTCTTTCGTGGTTTTGGACTGAAAGCTTCTGCCTTCCGGTGTGCTCTGAGGAGACGTTTGGCCTCAGCAGAGACTGAGGGGCTTCTGAGAGTTCTCCTGATGTTTTTGTTGACTCAGTGCCCTGAGTCCTCTTGCTGCGGAGGAGTAGACTGCTCCTCTTCTCTACAGGCGAAGCTTTAGAAACAGCTCTAATGTATATTTCCCAAGACGTCAGGAACCTCTCAGGATATTTGTGGGCCCTAAGAGACATTCTTCTTAGCCCTCACCCACCCTAAAGTTATTATTTTGTGTGAAAGAATGTAATAAATAATATTTCATTAACATTAAAACTACATTTCTTATTGGCTAGAAGCCCCAAATGTCTGCATATAGTGCTTATGACAACAAACAGCTCTGTTATTAACCCAAAACAGACAGATTTTAAACATGTGCAGAAATATTATAGCAGCTTCAAGTGCTGTCAAGTGGGATTCAGCTCCTGGTGACCATGGAACACATTTCTCCAGAATATCATGTCTTCCAGTCAGGATTCTAGACTTCAGAATGTTTCATCTGTCTGGTCATTCTCCATGTTTAGATATCACTGTATTTTCCAAAAAACTGGTTCTTCTGAGAATCCGTCCAAAATAAGAGCTTCAGTTTAGTTCTCTGGGCTATGAGCGAGAGGTGAGGCTAAGTCCAGCTTTCACATCCTTAAAGAACCTCAGAGAAGACCACAGCCTGGACAATTCTGGTCTTTGTAGACACACGAAGATCTTTTCAAGCTCCTTCATCCTTTTTCTGCTAAGTGCAGATCTGTGTTGTATTTCTTGGATCCTCTGTTGTTAATAATTGATGCGAGTAGGCCAGAGCTGTCCACCATCTCCACATTTTCTCCATCACGGGTGAAGTTAGTGCTCTTGCTGGTTGTCAGATCTTTTGTTTTCTTCATACTGATTCGAAGTCCCATTTTTAACTCTGTACTTTCCTTAAGGGCCTTTAGATCTTCCTGACTTTCTGCTTGAGAGTCATGGCATCAGCACATCGGAGGTTATTGATGTTTCGTCAACCAATCTAAAAGGTTGAACAGTAGTGGTGACAGTGGGCAGCCTTGTCTTACTCTGATGTGGAACCAGTCTGTTTGTCCATTTTCCATCCTGACCGTGGCTTGTAATCAGCACAGAGATTCTACATTAGAGTGATGAGACGCTCTGGTATTCCCACTTTCCTGAGGACATTCCAAAGTTTTATGAGGGCGATAGTGAAACGCTTTGCTGTTGGAACTGTGCTATGGAAAATGTTGATTTCCTTCTTGAGCTCCTTGGCTTTTCAGCAATCCAGCGAACATCAACAGTGATATCCAGCATGCACATCTTTTCTAATTTTCTGCTGTTCTAAATTTCTAATTTAAGGCTCTATTCTCTGTTGTATGTTCCTGAGCATAATTTTACCGGCGTGTGATTTGAGGGAAACTGTATGATAGTTTGCACCCTTTCTGGTCTCCTTTCTTTGGTGCTGGAATATAAACTGACTTCCAGTCTTCCAAATTTGTGAATTTTGAAAACAAAACACCCAAATATTGCAAAAAAGAGTTTATGCTAGGACCAGGTGGAAAAGTTAGAATATCACTAAAGCTAAAATGCGAAAGAGTGATGGAAAAGGGTTTTTTGAATAAATGTATCAAGACTACAAGTCACATGATTCCATGATTCCTACAGACAGTCAGATCACAGCACAGAGCTTTCCATAGATTTCTTTCAACATTTTTGAAGTGCTTGATCAAAGCTAGTTTGAAAAACATCTTTGCACAATGAGCTCCAGAACTGTCTGGTGTGTTTCTGTTCTCAGATTTAAGGTGGATGTCGTCGGAGTGGTGCGGAGATTTCAGCCCTCATTAGGTGGCCACTGCTCGTCCTGCTCGCCGTCTCTGACCAGCAAACAACACAGCCATAAAAAGATGACAAACGGCTGTAAAGATGATTCTACTGAAGCAAAAACTGAGTTCAATCTCTCCATCATACTCATTTTGATGCTACCTACGGCATCTAAAGTTTTTTCGCATAACTGTGTTGAATGGAAACCCTGACAAAATTCTATAAATGCGCATATCATTTGCGAAACGTTTGAATGGAAATGCAGCCACTGAGTGGTTTTCCAGATTTGCTGCCAGTGTTTGGTCTTTAATGGAATGTTCAGATTTCATTGCAGTGTTAGTGTTTCCTGTGGCTTTATTTTTGGGCAGTGATCTCAGGACCTGTCTGACTTCATCTTCTAGGGCTGAAGGTCCTCCTATGAGTGTGTGCCATCCATCTTCATTTAGCTCTTGCTTCATGTGTTATTATCTGTTCTTATAAGGCTGAAATTTAGTTTGGATGTCCTGTATTTTCTGGAACACCCTGTTTTTCCATAGTCAGTATCATTACAGATGTTGTTGGTGTACTATTGATCCTTGTATTTCCTGGCAGCTCTCTGGAATTCACACTTTAGTTCTCCTAAAAAAATCTTTAACCTTCTTGTTTCTTCCCAGTTTTCTCTGCATAATCATCGACTTTGATTTCTTGCTCTGATTCATCGTTGCTGATCTCTTTGAGTTCCATCCACAGCTCCTCTGGCTCTCTATCAGTTATATCCTTTGAAGATAAGTGGATTGTTCTCCAGGTCATGTTTTGGAAGTCTGGCTGTTAGACTGCTTTTGCTTGTTCATTAGAAGTTCATGATCTGTTCCACAGTCAGCCTTTGCATCTCTTCATCTCTGATCTCCAAAGTGGTAACTTTACATGAGAAGGAAAAAACACTGGTCCTCATTCACCAACTGTTCTTAAGAAGAAATTTCTTCTTAAAACCTACTTACGCAGTTTTGACGAAGACTCTAACATCCAATAATGTTTTCTTATTTGGGATTTGTTCTTAGGTAAGAACAGAATCTACACACAAAAGCTGAGAACAGTTGTGTGCTTTAAGAACACATCATGAATCTGATGTAGACTTTTTCTTAGGACCTCTCCAGGACACATTTAAGAACACACTTAGGAAGATACTTGAGAATGAGGCTCAGTCTTATCTTGTAATAGAAGTTAATATAATAAGATTTTTTTTGGACCATTTCTATTGGATAACTGGAGTTTTTCTAAATGAAAATATAACAAAAATGGAGGTTTTTGTGTGACAGTGATGATACATATCATCTATATTGCATATTATTATGATATATGGGTACCTACATACACCGATCAGGCATAGCATTATGACCACCTCCTTGTTTCTACGCACATTGTCCATTTTATCAGCTCCACTTACTATATAGGTGCACTTTGTAGTTCTACAGTTACAGACTGTAGTCCATCTGTTTCTCTGCATACTTTGTTAGCCCCCTTTTACCCTGTTCTTCAGTGGTCAGGACCCCCATGGACCCTCACAGAGTAGGTACTATTTGGGTGGTGGATCATTCTCAGCACTGCAGTAACACTAACGTGGTGGTGCTGTGTTTGTGTGTTGTGCTGGTACAAGTGGATCAGAGACAGCAGTGCTGCTGGAGTTTTTAAACACCTCAGTGTCACTGCTGGACTGAGAATAGTCCACCAACCAAAAATATCCAGCCAACAGCGTCCTGTGGGCGGCATCCTGTGACCACTGATGAAGGTCTAGAGGATGACCCACACAAACTGAGCAGCATCAGATGAGCTATCGTCTCTGACTTTACATCTACAAGGTGGACTGACAAGGTAGAGTGGACAGTGAGTGGACACAGTGTTTAAAAACTCCAGCAGCACTGCTGTGTCTGATCCACTCGTACCAGCACAACACACCACCACCACGTCCGTGTTACTGCAGTGCTGAGAATGATCCACCACCCAAATAGTACCTGCTCTGTGAGGGTCCATGGGGTTCCTAACCACTGTAGTACATCGTAAAAGGGTGCTAACAAAGTATCAGAGAAACAGATGGACTACAGTCTGTAACTGTAGAACTACAAAGTGCACCTATATAGTAAGTGGAGCTGATAAAATGGACAATGAGCGTAGAAACAAGGACGTGGTCATAATGTTATGCCTGATCGATGTGTATGTATATGTAATATTTCTGGAGTGTTGTCTAACAGTGTGTGTATGTGGGTATATCTTTTAGGCGATAGAGCGCAGCCTGTCTTCCATCTGTCCAAACGACTGGATCCTCGCTCTTCATCAGGCCCTGCTCATCCTCCTCATCTTGGGGAAGTGGCTCCTCCCCCTTGGAGGCGGGGTGACACGTGACGAGCTGTCGCAGCTGCTGCTGATCTTCGTCGGCACGGCCGCAGACATCCTGGAATTCACCAGCGAGACGCTGTCTGATGTGAAGTGGGTACTTCCTCAATTACTGAAGAGCTGCTTCCTCTGCGAGAGAGGCTGTGTCCCAAATCAACACCCCCCCTAGTGCACTACTCCACTTATAGTGCAGCTACCACCATTTCAGGGAATTGGCTCAATTACACAATGATTAGATTAAGGTGTAGAGCATTTTTTTTATGGAAATAGCAGCTGAAAGTGCTTTCAAAGTGAAGCAGTAAATGACATAATCTGTCTCTGATCTTTAATAATGATAATATTTTAATAGATCAAACAAATAATAGATGGGTCATTCTCATGAAACGGCCTTAAATCGCATCTATTAAGATTTCAGATAATCAATAATCATATAATTTAACAGATAGGTGAGTTAAATTATTCATTTTTTCTATTTGAAAGCTTTTTTTTGCATTTGGTATTTTTTCTCTTTTTTATTACAAAAATAATTTGCATTACCTTTAATTGTTGATTCTCATAATTGTAATGTTGAGATTATAAAAAGTAGGAAATGGTTGCTGAAATCCTATTTTAAATCAATTACATCACTGAGAATTACTTTTAATTCAATTTAAATAACTTTTAACTTTAATTATTTAATCAAGCATCCCTCTTTATTTATCCAAAAAATGGACAACATTTCCATCATTTTATTTTTCCAAGCTGTCTCTGTGTTAGTGCTGATTTGTGAGAATAACTGATTCAGATACCGATTCTCCTAAACAAACACACCTCTGAGTCAGCGGTCAGCAGCTGGGGAGGCCTTCCGTAAAAGCTGAGTGTAGAGATTTCACTAGTCAGAAATAGCTCAGTGTGTCTGAGCAGGAAATCAAACTGAGCTGCTTCCAAATGCAAATCAACTCCAGTTGTTCCACTCGTTTACTGAGCCTGGCCACAATAGTGTGGCTCAGAAGTAAACAACAAACATGGATGCTAAGGCTGGTTTATTAACATCCACTACAGCTTGTTTACAGAGCACTTTAGAAAACAAACACAACAGAAAGAAAATGTGACTTTACATTTACTGGTAATTTAACATTTATACTGTATGGTTTGATCAGTTTTACTGTTGATGGACTTTTCACTTCTCTCATTAATGTTGACGTACCTGACTAAATAGAAAGATAGATAAATACGCAGAACGCTGGGAACATAGAACCACTGGAACATAGGGCCCTGAAAACATAGAACCCTGGGAACATACAACACTGGAAAAATAGGACCCTAGGAAAAATGAATGCTTGGAACGTAGAACCACTGGAACATAGGGCCCTGAAAACATAGAAACCTGGGAACATAGAGCCCTGAAAAAGACCCCTGGGAACATAGAATCCTAGAAATATAGGAGCCTGCGAACAAATGGATCCTGGGAACTTTGGGCTCTGAAAACACAGAACCCTGGGAGCATAGAACACTGGAAATATTGAACCCTGGGTACATAGAACACTGGAACCATCGAACCCTGGGTACACAGAACACTGGAAATATCAAACCCTGGGTACATAGAACCATAGGAACATAGAACCCTGGGAACATAGAACCCTGGGATTATATGACCCTGAAAACATAAAACCCTGGGAGCATAGAACACTGTGAACATATAACAGTAAAGTACATAGGGTTATAGTGGTGGGTGTAGACACTCCTCATACTGATATCTAGTCCTGTTTAAGCAACTGACGTGTGTGTGTGTGTGTGTGTGTTACAGGGATAGCAGTCCACAGCTGGTGTATATAATCCTGGCGGTGTGGACGTGGAGCATGCTGCAGTTTCCTCTGCACCTGGCAGGTGAGAGTACACCTGGGTTCTGTCTCACTTCTTCTGCATTTACCTTTACGCCATTCAGCAGACACTGTTATCCAGAGTGACTTACAAAAGGGCTTTGTTGTGCACTCAGAGGACGAATCTTAGCTAGAACAACCTACCCTTAAGCTCAAACACTGCCAGAAAACAAAAGCCAGATAACTAGAAACATACACAGCTGATAACTAGAAACAGACACAGCATGTTAACACAGAGTTAAACACAGCATGAGTGCATTACAGTGCACTTCAGTAGAGATGAAACAGTAACCGGTTTCACGGTAAACCGCGGTAAAATTAATGACCGTTTGAACTTTAAAGTATCGTTAAAACCGCGGTCGATTACCGCGGTGTGAAAAACTCGCTTTACAGAGTCAAACAAAGACAGAATCATCTCTCAGACGCAGCTGTGTGTGTGTGTGTGTGTGTGTGTGTGTGTGTGTGTGTAGAGGGGAAGGGGGGGGGTGAGAGGGAGAGAAGAGAGAACATGGCGGAATGTAGTGACAGAGATTCGGAGATATTTCAGCCTTCTATGAAGACCAAGTCTGACGTTTGATCATATTTTGGGTTTTATAAGGATGCAGAAGGAAAGTTAATTGAAGATGACCACACTGTCTGCAGATGACCACCCTGTCTGCAGAACAGGCCGAAAGAAAATAGCGGCGAAAGGGGGCAACACATCAAACCTTACGAGTCATCTTCGCGACCACCACCTGCTACTTTTTAGAGAATGCAAGGTTAACTTTAACGGAGAAGTCTGTGGAGACTTCGAAATGTCATGGTCTGTGTGGTTTAACTTTTGCTTATGGTTCGTTAATAATATAAAATGAAGCTTTGAGCGTCAAAAAAAAAACAACAAAAAAAACAATCGGTGAATCAACTGTGAATCGAAACTAAAGCTTTTAACACATATTTCTGTGGAGCAGTGTCTCCAAAATGAGCTCTGAGTTAACAGTCACACAAGCTGTGGAACGAGACGCTGCAGAGGTTCAATCTGCACAGTTCCCCTTTCTCGCTTGCAGTGTTTACAGTGTTGAGAAGAGAATAACTGTCTCAAATCACTGTGTCCCCTACATAGTGCGCTACTGTTCAAACAAACACGATCATCATTAACAAGCAGTTGAGTTTTAAATAGGGGATTAGTAACCTGTTGTTAATGTTGATTATAGATGACTTAGTCGAACATTTCCTGCACTCTTTGGGTGAAGGATTTGCTATTTCATGATCCACGAAGTGCACTACATAGGGAGGATAGTGTGCTTTGAGACGGGACCTCGCGCGAGTAAACGCTGTGTGCTGATTTTAGGAAAAGCAGAGTTTCAGAGATTAAACTTTAGGAGTGTTGGTGCCGCAGCTCAGATGCATGTTAATTTTAAGTTATGTTTTAGTTTTAAATGCTTTTAGAGAAGCAGCTCCACAGGTGAAGACACGCTGTGTGAGTTCTACACTGTCTGCAGCTCACAGCGCGGTCACGCAATTCCTCTGTGATTTTGGCTGTTTTTCCTGGTGCACTGTGTTGATTAGGGGTTCAGCGCCACAACGGCACAATAATGCTGCAGTTGCAGTTCAGACAGAAACCCCCAAGTGCAGCACTTCTTAGAAGTAATAATTTTCCGTTAGGACCCACCTCAGAGTTGGTGGAGATTTAATTCTCTATGCAGGGAAATCCCTAATTATTGTAATTAATAATAATAATAATAATAATAATTACAGCAGTAATAATAATAATAATAATTTACAACAGTAATAATAATAATAATAATAGTAATGGTGAAACGAATTTCAGTTTGTGTATCAGTATTTATTTATTTATTTATTTATGTTACTTTTCAACGCTTTTGAACAATATCACGATAATATCGATAATCGTGATAATTCTGGTCATGATAATCGTGATATGAAATTTTAATATCGTTTCATCTCTACACTTCAGTAAGAGCTGGATTATTTTTTTAATCTAAGTGCTTCACAAAGAGATGGTCCTGCGGTTGAAGACCGAGAGGGACAGCCAGTGTTTGGACAGCCAGTGGAGGTTGGTTCTCCAGAACGGAGAAGAGTCTTGATGCTTGTCTTCCACTGCGAAAAAATGAGCTTGAATTAAGATTGAATTTGAGGAGAAAATGATTTAATTCTAGTGAAATTATTTTTATCAATTTACTCAACAAGAAAGCTTAAAATAAGTTCCAGTCCTGAAATAAGCAGATCCGATAAAAGCTCACAGGTTTGAAATAAGTAGAAAAAATTGCTTTTTAGATCAAATGACTTGAGATCAGACTCATCACAACTCAGTAATCAGTGAAATGCACTGAAAATTAGTGAATAAATTCTTTTGCATTCTTAATTTTAGTGAAGAAATTAAGGCTGAGGAAGAAAATAAATTAGTAATGTAAGCAGAAATTATCAATACTGGTGAAGGATGATTGTGCTGTTACTAAAATGAATGCTTTAGTGAAAAGGGGCCTGCGTGGCCCTCAAAAAATCACCTCCAGTTTATTTCACTGCTGTGGTCAATAGCAAGAAGTTAGGAGAACCGAGCTCTTGACAGAATGTTGTGCTGACCGTTGAGGTCTGTACAAATTTTCCAGTACAGCTCCAATAAAAACAAAGCAGTAGCCAGCTACCACTGACACGCTGACTCAGCATTAGGGCTGTTTAGCAACATGTATGAGGGAGGAAAATAAGTACAAGAGCAGACGTTCCCAAGATAAAGGCATCTTTTGGCTCTGTTTCATCTACATCGCTGCACTCTCCAGTTTGCTCCCAGAGTGTCAGTATTAAGGCTGCCGCACACCGGGCACATCGCGCCATACAGCTCTGAGCTTTAATTTACTGTAGTAATGACAAAGCGCTGAGCGGCGCGCTGAGATACTGAACGTCGTCGTGGTTCCCTTTGTTAAAAACAATGGACTTTCTAGACATGGTGCATCTTCTGTGTGGAGGCCGTTAACCTGACCGCTGTTTTCTCTGGCTGCTAATGTGGACTGACATGGCTGGACAGTTAGGCCACGTTCACGCAGCAGGTAAAAGTGGCCCAAATCTGATTTTCTCACCAAATCTGATTTTTTTTTGTTTGGCTATTGACAATATCTTTTAATTGTGATCTGTATGCAACATGAGTCTGACAGATCAGCTCCTAAACTGACCCACATGTGCAAAAGAACAATGCTTCACGTGGCTCATCCAGAGGTAAACAATCACGACTGCCAACAAATGCCAGTCGCTCCCAGAGCTTTTAGGTTCGTCTTCGCCAGTGTCGCAGGAGCGATCATGAAGCTTCACTGACTGACAGCTGGGCTCATCACCCAGAATGTGTTCAAGCTCGCTGTTTAGGGCGCGGTCACTTCTTTGGTCCATGTTCTCAGATTCTTTAAACTTTGCTTTCAGACTTTTAACTGTTCTTTGATGTTGCAGCCTCGCTGTCCTATGGCCACATTCGGACATTTCTTTCAAAACTTCTCAAAACTTTTCAAAAATTCTCTTTGAACATGGAGCGGTTTGGATAAGTTTTTCCGAACTTTTTGCATAGAAACATCACCCCAAATGTTTATGAGGTCCCAGCAGTGCGGAATTTTGCTAAACGTCAAGCTGGATTGGCGTAACAGTCGCATAAATTCCAATCTGGCTGTTCAGACAGAGTCGCACTGCCGCATATCGGATACGTGTCGGATTCCAGCACCACATATGAAAGCGCCTCAAATTGGAACTGAAAATGTCAGATTCAATCTGTTCACACTGACACACAGACACACATCTGTGTCACATATGAAGAAACAGATCAGATTTTGGCCACTTTTACCTGTTAGCTCTGTTAGTCATTCAGTACTGAAGTAGTTTACTGTGCTGATACTTTTGTACTTCTGCTCAAGTTGCTTTATTTAAAAGTACTTTTACTTCTACCACAGTCATTATTTTACCAAAGTACCACGACTTTTAGCTGAGCAATGATTTAGGCTACTCTACAAAACTACGAGCATCTGCAACTGAACTGCACTGACAATATCTGCACTGCAACTGAATGTGAGTTCCATTATTATATTATTTTGGGGCATCTACACACACACACACACACACACACACACATATACACACAATAATCAGTTCAGTGTGTGGCCTAAATTCCAGCTGGGGTGTGGAGCTAAACAAGAGAACATCTGTGTGAACAGAGAGCCAGTTATTGTACAGAGTACAGGAACATCAGCGCTGTTAAAGAACAAGGACATTCAGACTTATCACTCCCTTCAGTCACTTTAACTGCTTCAAGCCCAATGAATTCAGTGTTGTGTGGGCTGTTACTTTCACTTTTACATTATCATTGTTGGAACAAAACCTTTCATCTCCAAAGTGATAACTTTACAGAAGAAGGAAAACCCATTCTTAACTTTTAATGCAAGTTAATGTCACAAGATTTTATTACAATATAGTAATTCTGGGCAATTTCTGTTGCTCTGTTTATTATTCAGTGTTGACACAGTTTAAAAGTCAGATGGTATTTTTAAATGTTGTGAAATGACAAAATTGGAGGGTTTTATCCTGACAATTGCAATGTTTTGGCTCAAAGAAGCTTCCAGTGGATATGTATAAATGAACCTTTTTTAAAGTCTAAAGAGGCTGCACATAATGTAAAAGTTCTAGGAAGTTTCCTATTATGTGACGGTTCTTCAAACCTTTCAAAGGTTCATCACATATATTTTTTTCAGACATGGTTCTTGAGGGAACCAAATGTGGTTCCTCCATGGCAGGGTCATAAAACTCTTTGTGGCCTTCAGCTTTTTTTTTTGTTCTTTTTTTTAAGAGTTTACTTTCAGTATTTCAGTATTTCAGTATAATTTCTCTGTATTTTCGACTTCTGCATACATGACCAATACAAGCAATTTATTGCTTATTGCTATCACTTTAACCCACTAACACTCACATTCTGAATTTAATGCGGTGAGTAAAAACATGAAAAAGAGAGAGAAACTGAATATCTACTAGCACATGTTTAAATAGTTCTGTATAGTTACTTCATTCTCAGTTTTATTCCCAATCAGATGTATGATTTTCTGTTGTTTTTGCTGAATAAAGAGAAAAATGAAGTGATTAAGGGTCACTGTCAGAGATAAAACGGTCAGAAGGCTCGTTTCTCCTGCAGCTCTGGTCTGAAGGTGGTGAAGAGACTCAGTGTTTCAGACTCAGCAGTTTCTGTCTTACTGTAGTTCCTGACAGAAACTGCCGAGGACCTCAGAGGCCTAACGCTAGTCACGAGCGCTAGCTAACATACTGAAGCAATTGCGAATAGCAACAACTACTAAGCAGTGATTGGAGGTTTTAGAAAATAACACAGAGCTTGGCAGATTTTGATTGTCCATAATACAGTGACAGCACTCACAGAAAACAAATCAACCTTCATCATAACAGAAATGCTCCATCTCACAATCTCATGGATTGAGAAAAGTGAAAAAAACACTTCTGAAAATACAGAGGTCCCAACCTCGGTGTCCTCATAGTTAGTTATGGCCATTGACACACCAGAATAACTCATAAGCAACGCTTCATGGGTTCTTTAGTAAAGACAATGGTTCTATATATAACCATGAACACTCAAAGAGCCATTTGCATGCCTAAATGGTTCTCTGCATGGTGAAATCGTTCTTCATACTAATGGAGAATGTGTTGTATAAGGTTCTATACAGAACTGGGTCACAGGAATGTCCACTTTTCTATCCATAGGTGTCACTGGTGTTACCAATCCTCATTGGTGTTACACATAAGAAAGATAACACCAGAGACAGCAACACCAGTGGCATTTTTGATGAAAAATGAATTTTACAAAATGTCTGCTACAGAGCATCAAACCACATAATGTAAAAGTTCTAGGAAGTTACATATTTTGGTGGATATTCCATGATTGACAACAATCATGGAATATCCACCAAAATATGTAATTTAATCCTTTGTATTCTTTTTTTTTACAATTACCTAAGAATAAAGTAGGTCACACCAGTGACGTCAACTAAAATCATCATATGAAATCTTAAGCTAAATGAGAAAATTTCTGATAACTGAAAAGACACAGTGGACCATGTGCTTTTTTCACAGATCCTCAAAAATATGTAAAAGGAAGTCAAGTGATGTCATTAGTATGTTTTTTATTTCAAAATAAGAGATTTTTTGTTATGCAGTAACAACAGTGACACGACTCCTGGGGACAACAATTTTCATTATATATTTTCTAATATTTATTTGGCATTTGTTTTCTTTATGTCATTTAATTTATATATTTCATAGTCATGTATAGATTATTGTAGTTAAAATTACAGAAAAATGTTTTTTCCTTCAAAATATGGCCTCACCTTTTACACATGACTTTGGGGACAAGCACTTCTGTGGTGCTTGGAATTCTAATTAAATGATTTAAAAACCAATATTGTTAAACTGACGGATCAATAAGGTGTAATTGTTAAAATAAAATTGTTTTATTTGAAAATGTAAAAAAATGTAACTCTAATATGGTTATCAAGTGTAATATATCTGTAAACGCTAGGGACACAAAAATGGACGTTTCTGTAGAATGACCCTCCTGTATTTATCCGCATTTTTCTGTTGTCAGGCTTGTATACAATAGCAGAACCCTTTTTGGTGCCACATAGAATAATTTTCAGAAATGTTCTATTTACAACAAGCAAATCGTTCTTTGAGTGTTCATGGTTCGGTATAGATCATTTCACTAAAGAACCTCTGAAGATGTGAGTGAGCTCCATTTGAAAGCTGGGTTTAGTTCAGTGCTGTTGTTTCTGAAGGTCTGATGTTCGTGTCCTGTTGGTAGCTAGGATGTTTTCATGTGAAAGCCTGCTGACGGCTGGTTCTCACGTCTGTGTGACTGTAAATCAGTTCGGTGTTTAAAGGTTTAGTTTATTTGATTTAGATGTACAGGGACAGAACACACTAATAAACATTTCTGTAAATATTCCAGTTTAGTCAGTTTGGCTAGATTTAAACTGGATATCCTGGGCAGTTACCAAAGGACAAAAGATTACATAAAACAATTACATAAAAATTACATGAAACATTAATGATACATATAAATATACAAGACAATTATCTCCCAATGTGTCTCCCAACTCACCGGATTCAGGTAGAGGAGCCTCATTTATAAAGCCTCATCTTACACGCATCCTACATCATCCTATTTTGCTTAAGGCCTACAACATGCAAGGACGTGAATGGATGGTGTTTTTGAGTGTAGTTGCGTTAAAAATGTGTCACGACACATTTCATAACGCAACGCAAACGCGAGCTTGGGGCGCAATGACAACAGCCAAGCCTGTCCAAGCAGTCTTGTACCGCCAGTGTGTTTCTCAACTGCCATAACAGACGAGCAGTTAGGTATCACGCAACGATGGCTTACATAAACATAAAAATATGATACATTATTGCATTTCCATGCAAAAAGAGCTAAAGCAGCTCACTCTCCCCTACTGTCCACGTTTAACTGTTAAGGCTGCTGGAATAGCAGTAGATCCTCTAGCGCCCCCTTCAGTACTGAGTGTTTTAACCACCCTAGTAATGTAACAGCGCACTGTGAGTTTGTTCAGAAGGACAGAGACTCTGCAGCACGTTAGCCGAGCACCTTTTTGGCGTCCTCGTCCTTGCGTGAAGTCTGTTTCAGGCCGAGCATGTGCATAAAAAATGTTTTATAAAAAACATCTTAATTTTTACATTAATGACTGCAACCGTTTGTGCGTCTGTGATAGGGCTGCAATAAACGACTAATTTGATAGTCGAATAATCTATCGATTACTGAAACGAATAATTGATTATTCAGATTATGAATCACTACATTACAAAAAATGGTTTATGTAGTTTTTAGCTTTTAAATTTAGCTTGAGGTTGTTTTATATATTTGCTAACTAACAGTGAAGACAGTAAATATGAATAACATTCAAGAATTCACTGTTTTAATGAACTTTCCTGCTGATACAGAAAATAAAAAAAACTCCAATGTATTTTTCCTGTCAAAATTTATAACAAAGGATGTGCAAAGTAGCAGCAATAAAATATAACAAAACTAAATCAGTTTTTCTTTAATCAAATAAATAAAAAAATCTAAATTTAAATGTTAAACTTAAACAGTGCAGTTCTGTTGTCTGTCTAAACCTTGCTGCAACTACATTCTACAATCACAGGTCTTTATTGAAACAGAGGAAAGTCAGTATCTCTCCGTGCTCCTGTGAGAGTCTCGCTGTGCTCTGAGAGTGGATACTCCCCGCTGCAGAGAGGATGCGCTCTGATGGAGCGGATGGGAAAGTGGAGAACGTTTGTGGAAAACTTCTTCTCTATGAACAGTTAAATATGAACGATTTTAGTCTAAACGCTTCATTTTAACCCTTTGTCCAATTACCCTGTGTGTTCACGGAGAACTACCTCCTTAAACTGTTAGCGAGTGGAGCCAAACGCTCGCGGAGAACAGAAACCTGTTCGTAGTCGCTCTCCTGTGTTCGCCGAAACTGAACGCATCGGTAGCCTCAACGTTAAGACGACGATGCAGTGTTTAAAACTGTTATCGTGAACGTGAACAGGGTCGCTGTGAATAATAGTTAATTGTTCCTCTGTTCCAACTCCGTTAACAATTCCAGAGAAAATGCATTTTGAAATAGAAAATGTTACAGCTCGGTTCACAGCATGACGTAGGATGGCTTTTAGCAATAACATTAGCTAGGTTAACTAGCTCGCTAGCACAACTATCGCAACTAAACCTTCTATACTTAATATAAAAAACTTCTATACTTCTAAACTTCTATACTTCACACACTACACTAATAAGTGCACTTCTAATGGTATATGTGCTATTTTTACACATTATTTAGTGTGCTAGTATGCAGTTTGGGACGCAGCATATCTTACCGAGATATCTTCTTCATCCAGTGAGCCGACAGGTTTCCTCTTCAGATGCTACAGTACGGAGGATGTGCTCCCGTGCCAGCTAAGGTCGGCTTACAAAAAGCACAACTGATATCCTTTTTTTTCTAAGTTTAGCTCCACACTTTTGAGGATTTTGTTCTTGAGGCAGCCATCGCGTTTAACTCTCCAGTTAGCTGTAATGTCAAAACTCTCCTAGTGAGTGCTAGAAAGACGCGTAATGACGTCACCAAGTAATCGACTACTAAATTAGTTGCCAACTAAATTGGTCGTCGATTTTAGTCGACTAAGTCGAATAATCATTGCACCCCTAGTCTGTGAGCTCCTGCTGGTGTGGGTTTCCTCCCTCTATAAAGGCAAATGTGCCACTTGGTGCTTAAAAATGAATTATCACAAAATCAGCCTTAACATACAGATGCTTCACATGCCGCTTCTGTTTTTTTTCACTAATGTTTAGCACTGATGTACATCAGCCAAATATCTGTTCATAAACTCTTACAGATATTTGACTATCATAATTCGATTAGTCAGATTTTGGTGTAGTGTGTCCCAGTCTAACCCGTGTGTTTGACCCCTCAGTGGTGACCTCCAGGCCGGGTGAATCACATGAGGAGACGGTGGAGGAGCAGCAAGGTTGCTGTAGAAACATCCTGCTGAAAAGACACAGCACGGACATCTGGAACGTCGTGGAGAGCCTGTTCATCCAGGATGGACCGTTCCTCGTTGTCCGCCTGACCGTGATGATCTACTTTGAAGTTTTTCACCAGATGCTGGTGTTCTTCGCCATCAAGAACTTCCTGGTGGTCATTCTGAACTTCTACAGACTGGTGGTCATCTGCCTGGAGGTCAGACCGAAATCACGGTCACCAACGCCTTGACGGAAGGAAACATTTTATGGGCTCATTACTGGAAACATTACTTCAGAAATAGTGTAGTTGATCAGCTAAGACATGTTTGCTTTTGTAGTTTTAGTGCTGGAGCTACGAGGCTATTGTAGCTAACAGGTAATGGAAGCTTATACACCAGTGCTACCTGCTTGTCTCAGACTTTTTGGGGTTGTTCAATATCTCTAATAGTCTTGATTATGTGCTTTCTGACACTGTATGACATACTGTTATCTATAAACAGGTTATACAACCTCATCAGAGAGATGCACACACAGCCAGTGGGCAGAAAGCAGCTCTGTTCACCACATAAAGTCTGTTCACCACAATTACACGTTGTTGTGCAGAGAAGATGGTTGCAGAATGTTTAGCTCTTAGTAATTTTTCACCATCACTGAGAAGTAGTTTATTGATGTAATTGATCGGCACGGTCTGAGCTGCCTAGGTTTCCAGTGTAATCTGTGCCAGCCATTTTCTCACTGACCCAAACCTAACAGACTTGTAAATTTTGCTCTAACAGCCGACAAAGTCGTGTTTACAACAGGTAAACTAGGGATTCTAGATAATACAGGAGTTTACGAGTGAAAAATGCTCAACTTACTGTGACTGTGAAAAAAATATAACTGACCCCAGAAGAAAGAAATACTCTAAATGAAATCAGAGTGAGACTGAAGCCATTTTCTCCTGCTTCTGAAAGTTGGCTCCGGAGAAATACAACTCAGATTTTCTCACGTTGATCAAAATACTGTCACACGTGTGGTTAACTTTTTAATGTCTGACTCAGTCTGAGCTGAATAATAATCAGCATTTTCTTATTCAGCTCTGTTCTAGATCACAGAACTCTCTCAGCAGCCTGTCAGTGCAGAAGGAGAACTCACGCTTTTCTCATTCATCACCAGAACTTCTCACAGTGAAACGCTGGTGTTCATCTTCTGTTTTCTTCTGAGGAGGTTCAGGAGAGAGAACTCAGAAATCAGTTTATTTCTCTAAGATTATCTTTAGGCATTTTTCCGTCTGGGACTAGCTTCTTGTAGATCTATGTGCTGTTTAGCATCGCTAAAAAAGCAGTATTATGTTCTCCAGATCTCCATTCTGTTCTTCTCCATGTTCTCTGTTCTTCTCATATTTACTGGTCAACCATCTGGTATATACAACCATCTAATGAGTGCCTGAACGCAGCTTTAGCTTAGCAACACTAGCGGTACCGCCATGCTCCTGATATTGTCAAATAAGGAGGATAGACAGACTCAACAAACAACTTAACCAGGTCAGCTAGGCAATTTATAGGATGTGTCAGCAAGATATAAAGTTTTCTGTGATTGGAGCTCCTATTAGTTAAACATTAAGCGAACAGCAAACTTAGCGGGGCGTTGGTCATAGAGACCTGATGACTAGCCAATACTGATAGCCAACTACTGTTAGCTAATGTTTTATATATTATAGTTTTATATATACATCAATATGCAAATGAAACACAAGCAAACAGATCCAACTCTGAAATGGCATTTTATTGTTGAGTCTACAGGAATTTACAAACAATGTGAAATCTACGTTGATCACAGCAGTCCACTAACATTAGAATCTTATGACCGGCTAAGTTACAAAAGCGGTTTTGACCACTGACTGCACATGCCCAGTACTGTCTGTAAACAGGAAACCTGTCTACATACATAGATGAAAGAACAGCAAAGCCGATAACAGTCTATTGGTCCTGATTGGTCAGTGTAAGCTTCCGTTACTTGGTAGCTACATTAGCCTCATAGCTCCAGCACTAAAACTAATGAACTAAAGGAGGTATTTTGCTTTTGTACCACTTGAATGAAACTAAATGTTGTGTTTGTTTGCTCTTTTTTAACTGGTTATATATCTACAGTCCCTGGCCACTTTATCAGAAACACCTCTCTTGCAGCTCCACCTTGCTGATGTTCAGTTACAGGCTGTAGATCATCTGCTAATGCACCGTTTGTGTTAGCCATCCTCTAGATCTTCATTAAAGGTCAGTTCCTAGAATTTATATCTGGTCATCAGTAGTCATGTGATTAGAGTAGCATGGAGCTACATAGTGGAGGTATAAGGCAGGTGGAGCTCATACAGTGTAAGTCCATGTATGTTAAAGGGGTCTGAGTGTGCATGGCTCAACTTTACACCAAATAAGAAAAATATAAATATTACTTGTTCTGTATAAATTAGAGAAACATCAGTGATGTCAAACAAAATGACTGCTCAGACTGAACAACTCTGCTCCTGCAGCTGTTTTCGTAAAATGTTCAGATGTTTCAGATATTTTGATGTTTATATCTGTTTTCATCACAGCAATATAATGATAAGAATACACTGACTCATTCTTATCAAACTTGAAAGATTGAAAGATCCATCCATTTTTCAAATTATCTGCATAATTTAGTGGTTGAGAGTGGTTTGGTGTGAAATGATTCAGATTTCTTTACAGTGGTGGTGATAGGAACCAGGGGTCGCCATGACTACAACACAGATATAGACATTTTATTTACTATCCAAAACCACCAGTGAAGCTACTGCTTCTGAGTTTTATATGGAATGTTGATGATGGAAAATAATGAAAAATCTGAAATAGTAAGTTTTCTTTGGGGACTATTTTGCCTCTGCATGTATCCCTCCACCATGAATGGAGTTTAACTTCTCAAAACTATCGTAAAACAATGTCTCAGACATCAGGCAATGAATTCATTTATTACTATTTCATGTAATAATTTTCTGTGAGGGAGCTTTTAGAGGTGGACGTCTGGTTCCTATCACCACCGCTGTGCATAATTCTGACTCTGTAAGTTTCTCTAGAACAGAGTGTTTCACACCAAACCACTCTGTTTACATCATAACTGTTTAATTATGCATTAAATTATGCAGAGTAGTAATTGTGAAAGTGGGGAAGGTTTGGTAAATAGTGGGACCTCGAGGATTGCCACTGCGTATTTATAGTTTGGTACTGTATTTTATGTGTGTTACTAATTATGTCAGTTCTGAGCACATACACAAATAATTTGAGTCTGGAGAAGTCACAGTCTGCTTCACAGAGAGAGAGAGAGAGAGAGAGATGTAAAGGGTGTTGGGCGGTGAACTCCCTCACATGTGACCCAGTCTGATAAGAGTGCATGCGTATGTGTTTCTTAAAGATCAGCTGTCTCAGTCTGTGTGTGTGTAAATACTACAGTAAACATGCTTGTTTTTATCAGCTGGCTGTTCACTTTCTGTTCAGAAGGTTTTATTACAAGTGTAAAGTCTTAAAGTTCCAGGAAACAAACTGTAAAACATTAAAAATGTTTGCTAATAATGTTAAAAGTGGGTGTTATATTAAACATCTAATAATGTAGGAATTAAAAAAAATAGAAATAATACAGCTTAGAAATGCTAATCAGACCTGAGAACTGGATGGGCGTGGCCTAATATTCTAATGAGTATGCATGATTGACAGTCCAACACTCCCAGTCTTTGTATTGTTTTTTTTATCTTGTCATAAACAAAAACAAATATGGCAGTTGGCTAAACAGACGCTCACCGCCTCTGAGACCAAATGAAATAATTCTGTATTTATTTCAGGAATGTTTCTGTATGCTTGTCCTTCTAGAAACTCCCTCTTGTGAAAAGTGAAAAAAGAAAAATAGTAGATATTTATTTCTACGTACACACATTTTGAGAAAAGTTTGATGTCCGGTAATCTGGACATTTGAACTCAGTAAATGATGCTTTGATTGTTTAATAGACTCCTGCATTACAAACACATTCAGGATTTGTGTTTATTTTGTTTAAAGTAGAATCTAAGAATGCATTTAGGAGTGACAGCAGATGATGATCTATGAATGTGGGGATAATAATGTTTTTTTAGTGATTTCAGTGGATTATACTGCACATTGGAATTAGGCTAATGAAATTTTGAAAAATGAACATATTTATTATCATTAGGTATAACAGAGCCAAACAAAAAGAAACATTTCCCGTGTTTCATAAGAGTTATTTCAGAAACACAGAAACGTTATTTCTGTCTATGACACTGGACTAGAGTATAAACATATATAATATGTGTAATAGGTATAATATTACATAAAAATCTTGCATATAAATTTATGTCATACACCATATAGACAAAAGCATTGGGACACCCTTCCTAATTATTGAGTTCAGGTGTTTCAGCCACACCCATTGCTAACAGGTGTATTAAATTAAGCTCATAGATAGACACACACTTGCAGTAGAATGGGTCGCACTAATGAGCTCAGTGACTTTAAACGTGGCATTGTCATAGGATGCCACCTGCTAGATCAGCCCGTCAACTGTAAGTGCTATTATCGTGAAACGGAAGCATCTAGAAGCAACAACAGCTCAGCCACGAAGCAGTAGTCCATGCCATCTCACAAAGTGGGCCGCCGAGTGTTTTAGTGTACAGTGTCTATCCTCTGTTGAATTACTCACTAAAGAGTTCCAAACTGCCTCTGGAAGCAACATCAGCAAAAGAACTGCATGTTAGGAGCTTCACAACATGGCTGACTGCATTGTGCTAACTGTAAAGTTTGGTGGAGGAGGGATAATGCTATGGGGTTGTTTTTCAGGAGTTGGCCTAGACCCCTTAACTCCAGTGAAGGGAAATCTTAATCCTTCAGCAGACCAAGACATTGGAACAGTTTGGAGAGGATCCTTTTCTGTTCCAGCATGACTGAGCCCCAGTGCACAAAGCAAGCTCCATAAAGGCATGGTTGCGTCAGTTTGGTGTGGACGAACTTGACTGGCCCTCACAGAGCCCTGACCTCAACCCCATCAACACCTTTGGGATGAACTAGAATGGAGATTGTGAGCCAGACCCTCTTGTCCAGTATCAGTGTCTGACCTCACAAATGCTCTTGTGGATGAATGGGCACACATTCCCACAGACACACTCCAAAATCTTGTAGAAAGCTTCCCAGAAGAGTGGAAGCTGTTATAGCTGCAAATGGGGAACCAACTCCATATTAATGGATTTAGGTTGGTATTTGTAATGGCTCCTGTAGGTGTGATGTGTAGGTGTCCCAATACTTTTGTCCATAGAGTGTATGTAATATAGCTTATGTAGTGTTTTTATTTATTCATTTTCAGATCTAGTAATGTCAGTGTGCATGCTTTGTGTTAAAAAGCTTTTTGTTTACTATGATATTGTAAAAATTATTTAGAAAATTATTTAATATTTTAGGAGTCATTCATGCAGAAGTCCAAGTGGTTCCAAACATTCAGTACCTCTTTCGCTCAGCTGCACACGCAGTGTAAACACAGAAGTTCAGTGCTTGCTTTGTGTATATCTTTGTGTTATGATGGTGATAGCAAAAATGTTTTTTAAAAAAATATTTTTCAAAAACTGTCACTTTTCATAAGCCTAAGTGCAAATGTCCAGTAGACTGGACACTAAATTGTATAATTAAATAAATATAATTAAATATTATTCATTAAAATAATTAATAATGTGTAATTTAGTGTGTAGCAGATAATGTTTTATAAAGTTGTTGTTTAAAGTGTCCAGTCTCAGGAATGAGGAGGTTAATATATCTAAATATTTTTTGAGGTATTTTTATTGGTCCATTGATCATGAAAACAGTGTAAAGAATGTTAAAGCTGTGGTTTATAAATGGAGTAAAAGAAAAAAAACGATATGATGGCGATGATAAATAACAGGAGGAAGAGTCAGAGTGCTGGTGATGGTCTTTGTAGTGTTTGGTCGTGTATACGTGCTCTTCATTAACCTCTAATTCCTGTTGATTTAAATCTTTCACTATCCATGAACTGAAACACAATGAAGGAATCCACTCACTCCCCCCCCGGAGACCCCCCTGAGGAAACAGGGCCCCACCACTGACGGAAGAACCGATTTAGCTTCTGTCCTTTTACACAAAACCTGAATGTCACTAACATCATATAGCAGCATTTAAAACCACTGAGTGTTTATCTGAACTGTGTACTAATACACCTTAATACAACAATAAGCATAAAGCAGTACAGATCATAACTAAAGCCATCAAAGCCTTAAAAACAGTGCATTAATATCTATGTTCCAGGAAATTAAGAGCTATTAACAGATAAATGAGACAATATCACCATTGAGATATCTGCCTCTCCAAACATTAACTGACGTGTTCATTACAGTCTAACACACACACTGACATTAGTCTGATATTGTAGCTTAACTTTATGATCACATTTGTATTTATGTATTTGCCACAGACGCCATAATTTTAAAATTACTAAGCAATGATAACAAACAGCACCAGCTGAAATCCTGTTGCAGTACTGTACCCCACACTTAAAGGAGAACTCCGTCCATTTTCCAAAATTCCTGCATAATTAAATAGTTAAGATGTAAACACAGTCATTCAGAGTGGTTTGGTGTGAAATGCTCCATTGTAGAGAAACTTACCGAGTCAGAATCGTTCACAGTGGTGTTGATAGGAACCAGACGTCCACCTCTAAAAGCTCCCTCACAGAAAGTTACTACAAGAATTGATTATGAATGGTTATGTTTTACAATAGATGTGGTAATTTCTCTAGAACAGAGCCTTCCACACCAAACTACTCTGAACGACTTTGTTTACAGTTTAACAGCTAAAGAGCACTGGAGGTGGGTTGCTGTGGTGAAGAAGATCACCAGTTGCAGTAGAAGTGCGTTTTTCAGATCATTTTAGTGCACATTATTTATAATATATATATATATATATATATATATATATATATATATATATATAATATATATATATATATAACAAATTTAAATATTAGACAAAGATAACACAAGTAAACACAAAATGCAGTTTATAAATGAAGGTCTTTATTATTAAGGGAAAAAGAAATCCAAACCTACAGGGCCCTGTGTGAAAAAGTGATTGCCCCCTAAACCTAATAACTGGGCAGCAACAACTGCAATCAAGCGTTTGCAATAACTGGCAATGAGTCTTTTACAGCGCTGTGGAGGAATTCTGGCTCACTCATCTTTGCAGAATTGTTGTAATTCAGCCACATTGGAGGGTTTCCGAGCATGAACTGCCTTTTAAGGTCATGCCACAGCATCTCAGTCAGATTCAGGTCAGGACTTTGACTAGGCCGCTCCAAAGTCTTAATTTTGTTTTTCTTTAGCCATTCAGAGGTGGACTTGCTGGTGTGTTTTGGATCATTGTCCTGCTGCAGAACCCAAGTGCGCTTCAGCTTGAGGTCACGAACAGATGTCCGGACATTCTCCTTCAGGATTTTTTGGTAGACAGCAGAATTCATGGTTCCATTTACCACAGCAAGTCTTCCAGGTCCTGATGCAGCAAAACAGCCCCAGACCATCACACTACCACCACTATATTTTACTGTTGGTATGATGTTCCTTTTCTGAAATGCTTTGTTACTTCTACGCCAGATGTAATGGGACATACACCTTCCAAAAAGTTCAACTTTTGTCTCATCAGTCCACAGAGTATTCTCCCAAAAGTCTTGGGGATCATAAAGATGTTTTCTGGCAAAACTGAGACAAGCCTTTATGTTCTTTTTGCTCAGCAGT